GAAAAAGGCCATAACACAATATTCAGTGAACAAAACTTACAGACAATAATCATTTCAGAATTCAGATGTTCGTTTAAGTGTGCAACAAGATCAGAAACGTAATATCTTATGTGAAAGACAAAGGTACTTACAAACCCCCATCCGCTCCTTGTAAATGTTTGCCCAATAATTCCAAAATCAGTTCGACTTGAAAGAAATAATTCAACATAAGTAAGCTCATCTATAATAGCTGCCACCCCTCCATCATCCGGCCCTTTCCGCAGTGCATTTTCATACTCTTCCGGGGAGCCTAGTGCAACAAGTCTTGACCTAGGAATGTAGAGGCTATCAGTCAGATAGCCATAAGCAAATGACCCCACTTGGTACCCTATAGGCCAATTGCTTGCAATCAAACTATCAATTCCAGTGATGGGTGACGAAAGCTGCTGAACTGTAAGGATTGAAGTCAAGCTTGCAGTATAGCTTGATGTGATCACCATCAATAGGAAAAGCCATACCACCATCACCATCCGCCCAAGTGCGCTCACGGTATCTTCTTCTGTGATTGATGAGAAAGTAAATACTTTACTATTTGAAGGGATGGTAGAACAGGAGTAGTACAGGCTAATTTTCTTTGTTCTTTCAATAAGAATACATAAACTCATGAGGAAATGATTACATACTGTTAAACTACTTATAAACAATATGCAACTGGAAAAGTACGTAGTAATCTAAGAGATGTGAACTTTAGGAAGAACATGCTAACTTTTGGGATTCATTTTACAAAGAAAAACTAGATTGCAGATTCGAAAAGTTTGCTTACGGTTTTTCTTAAAAAGCGTTGAGAAGCTGAACCTGCAATATGAAAGGGTTGATTGATGTCAGAACCTAGTCCCCTGTGAATGTAAGTGGATCTTTAAATGCAACATGATTGGTTAAGTTAAAAGTACATAATAATAATATTTGCAGTAATGATAAAGTACTCAAGATATTAATTTTCAAAAAGAATTGTAAAGGACTCCATTTACAAATACAGAAAACTTACAGAAACATTGTAACGATCTGCCTCTTAGGGGGACCCCGAAAATCTTTGTTGACTCGATGCTCAAGAATCCACATTACCACAGCAATTATCACAAAGAAAGATGCAGTGACACACCACATCTCCAATGAAAATGGTTTGAGAAAAACCCAAGCATTTGACTTCGAATTGTCAATAGGAGCCACTATCACTAGCCCGGTGGTAGCATAGGGCTGAGAAAAATCTGCCATCACTGTCCGGTTTTTCACAATTGCAATGTCCCCAACAGCTGCATCAAACACCTGGTGCAAAATTTCAATTAGAAGAAGAGATGGATACTGCCGTCATGCCATCATCTATTTAAAGTTTTCGGTACTTGACATTAGATTCTTCCGAGCTATCTGCATGTTTTGACTCATAGTCACATCATGTTTCCATGCATTGGCAGGTAATATCACCCCAAAAACCAGTCACATTTTAAGTGTTTTTTGGATTCCAAATCAAAACTGTGTAAAGTTTACTTACCTTTTCTGCAACCATCTTCACAAGCTCATCATAACTGGGATTGGACCGACCATCACCAAAAGGTTCAAATCTGTGAGGAACATCATACGGGACTAACTTCTGTGCTTCATTGAACACGTCAATACAGTATCCTTCGATTTTATGGCTGTTGTTCAGTTCTGTAACAAATTCAACAAAGCTCACTCTTTTTGGAACTCCAATTCTCAACGGTTTTTCATTATCTGCAATCTCCCAACCGCGTGGTCTTTCTGTATTTCCACCTGGCCACGTGATATTGCCAAGCTTCTGATTCAGTGGAGAATAGCTACTTCTTCTCCTTTTAGGAGTTTCTGGGGGAGAAACTGATAAACCTGAATAATTAGTCCAAAAACCAACTGTACGAATTGTCATCTGATCAATATTAATGATAGCATAACTCCCAATAGCACGGCTTCTTTCATGATCAAATTCAACGTGACCAGTTAAACCACTCATATTTGTCTCCAATAGCTTCTCACGAAGAAGAGATCCACCATCAAAGACTTTAAGCTTGCCTAGCTGAATTTGAGATGGTTTCGTGACATGTAATTTATCAATGACAGAGAATGAGATATTTCTGTATTCATTTATAAAATTTTCAATCGATTGTGCAACAGCCCAAACTGTGTCATAAGCATAAAGTCCATATACATTTAACTCGGAACTTGCTAAACCGTCTTGCCGCATTTTTTTCCACCTAGTCATAAATGCACGCTTTTGCCTCGACTCTGGGATATGCTTACGAAGAGTAACTACACCTTGAAGGACAGCGAGTGAAGTATGATTCATTGAAGAGAATGAATCTATTGTAGTAGAAAGCCAATCTGTTGCAAACCACACATAATTGCTTGTCATCATATGAAGTTCTTTGGCGACAGTAAAGATTCTCAACCTGGGATCAGGATCCACGTGAACAATATAGACACGAGGGCCTAGCAATTTGGATTTATTGAGCAAATCAGCAATGTCACTTAGATTAAAATCAACAGGCAATGCCAACTTATAAGAAATCCTTGACATTATTTTGTCAAGTTCATCATGTAAAGAAGATATTGCATTCCTCCCATAATCGTCATCCACGAAGACAGCAATAACCTCCTTCCACCCATAAAAATCAATTATACTAGCCATAGCAGCCATTTGGTGAGCATCGCTTTGTGTAGTTCGGAGAAAGAATGGGAATTGGAGAGCAGAGAGAGTAGGATCAGTGGCAGCATATGAGATAAGAGGTACTTGGAGACCATTAGCAATTTCAGAGATCATATGAGCTATTGAAGAGGACTGTGGTCCAATTATGGCTACTATACTTTTGTCAAGCACCTGAAAAGCTGCTCCCAAAAAGTGAGCCATTAAGAAATGTGGGTTAGATAGTTTGCAACTCTGAGTAAAGTTCAACATCCAACGTCCCAAGCGAGGATAAGAAGCGCAGCATGTGGAGATATTAAAAGTGAATTAACTTTACAACGAGACATAGTGCCATTGAAAATGAATATGAAAGACATGGAAAGAGCTAATGAAGGGCTAATAATGGTGAAAGAAATCTAAAACTAGTCAGAGCAGAGGTGCGAAAATCAGCGATTGATTCCACATGTGTTTTGGAAGTTGGAACTTCAAATCTGCAACAAATAAGAGAGGTTTCCATATAATATGGAGTCCTAGCAACCTGAGAATATCCTATAAATCGTCTTACGACTCACTAGCTATGTTGCTCGGACACTCCGAAACCCCAAAGTGTGAGTCGGACACCCCCCAAAGTGTGAGTCGGACACCCTGACAGGCTGACACGCCTCGGACATGGTTTGGACACAGGAACCCCAGACTCAGTTAAGTGGTACTACAAGAACACTAGCAATGAAACACTCAAGCACCACAAAACTACTACTAAAACACTTCAAAGACGCTAAACAAACGATTTTCGAATGACACCTTTCAAGGAATCATTTGAAAGTTCTCTCAAATGCATTGCATCTAGTTGTTTTGGAATACCTCTATCTAATTTTTGTTGTACATTCCTAACAAATTTGAAAGTCCCTCGTCCGAAAGCACCATAAAAGTTGCTAAAACTCAAAGTTGACCCAAGAAAAGAACAACCACAACAGCTCTAAACTGTAACAAGTAATGATAGTCATCTACAAAAATAAGAATACTGATCAATTGAGTACCTTCAACCGATCCCAAGAACACACTAGAATTTGCATCCTCCATATGCAACTTCAGCTCCGTCCCACTGAGTATTCTTGAATCTGCATTAACATCAGATAGAGCAGCTTCCATGGCTGTCTTTGCAACTCTACCAATAACCGAGTTGAAAGTAAAAATTGCTCCAACATTCACAACAGAAGGCCTCTGGCAGTAAAAACAGCCAGTAAGGAAAACCCATACCAGAAATTGCAGTGGCAAAACTACAGCACCCCTCATTTTTTCCTCCACCGCAGTAACTCCTCACGGTAAAATCTCAAACTTTCCTAAAACCCATGTCCCGAAAGCTCCATATAGTCAATAAAAATGGCATTAAAAGCATGAAAACGCATGGCATATTCAGCAAACTTCGGATAAAGATTAAAAAGGAAAGCTTTATCGCTTGATCAGTGGACTACCCAGTTGAGAGAACTCATTGATGAACTGAAAAACATAGAAAGTTGGTAAATTTCACCTAAAAACTATTGATTCCCAGAGAAATTTCAGTTCAACTTCACAGAAGTGAAAATTTAGACGTCCACTGCTGAAGGAAGGAGGAGTTTGGGGTAGCTGAATAATTGAGTTTGGATGTGCGTCAGACAGCGAGCATAATTTTCTACCGTATGAAAAACGAGAATCGCACAATCAAAAAAAAGTTTAAGGTCCACTTGCAACGTCTTTTCCTTTATTTTCTAAGAAAGTATATAAAGGTTGGGACTTTTCAGTCATTTTGCGAATGTATAAAATTGTCTAGAAAATATTTCGACCTCTAAAGGGAATTGTATTTGAAAGAGGCCTTCAGAGAAATGGATTTCCCACTTTTCTTTTTTTTTTCTTTTTTTCTTTTTAAATAGAATTTAGCAGTTGGAGGATTCACGCATCATCGAACTTTAACGACCTAAATTGTTTATTTTTCAAATTGGACCTTATAGATCATCCTTATAAAATATTTGTCAAATAAAAAATATTAGAGGTATCTAATTGTATTCAAAGAAATTGATGAAGACTTTGTTATAAGAAAACATCGAAATTTCACCGTTAAAGTTTTGTAAGATGATCTAATGAATCGAGATATACAAAATAGATGGTTTAGATCTTTAAATTTGATATGCAGTGGATTCCACAACTAATCTATTTTTTAAAACAAAATGAGAATTCCTTTGCTTGAAAGCCCGTGTATTTGAAAAAGTTTTAATCTTTTGGGCTCTTACATGGACCTTAAGAGTTGGGCTTGGGAGAACCCAAGTTGAAAGGGTAGTTTTGTCATTGTAGCAAGCGGGTGGGAACTGGATAACAAAAATCCATCCGTTTCTCTTCATCGTCCAGAGAAGCAGTAGACAAAAAGCTTAGCAGCTGATGCTCTCAAGCTCTTGAAAAAAATGGCTTCCTCATTCACTTCCTCACCTTTCCAAACCAGGTAACTTCACAATTTAGTTTTACTTTTTACTGGTCTGCTCACTAATTCAAGCATTTGCTTTCTGTTCCTTCCTTATGGGGTCAAAATTACAGGTAATGATTTGTAAAGTTTGAATCTTTCTGACAATTTGAAGCATTTTTCAAGAAGATTAAATTATGGGTTGTGGGCATTTCAGGATTTGATTAGTTCCAGTTAACTTATTCTATTAAATAGAAAACTGTTTTAAGCATGTAGAATTTAATCTGGAGGTAGAAGACGATAGCCTGTAACCTTACCTAAATTTCACATTTCAAACGCTGCCGTTTCGATTTCATGGCAAGCCACTCCCCCACCATACCCACACGTCGAAAGGTAGGAAAATTAAATGCAATTAACAAATCCAATGCAAACATGGAGCAAGAGAAGCAGAGAATACCATTGTGGGGAGTGAATAGAATTTTTATGCAGTTTTAATGCTCAAGGCTCCATATTTTAGTGCATTTGCCTCAGCTGAGGCCAATGGTGGTATCTCAGGTCTCAAATTTGGGGAAACGTCTGAACTTGAACAGGATTCATGAGTTTTTCAGACACCCAATTGAACATAAGAAATTAATGTTAGACTGCGTTGTTATGTTTTTGAAGTTTCCTTTACATTGTTCTCAGGTTTCAAATTTTGGAAAATGTCCAAACTTGAACTGTATTCGTGAATTTTTCTGAAACACAGTGGAACTTAAGAAACTAATGATTAGTTTGTGTTCTTATGTTTTGAAGTTTCCGTTCCTTTGTTCCCCAGTGTTTGGAAAAGGTCGAAACTTTCATGAATTTCAGAAACCCAATGGAACATAAGAAATTACTTTTTGCAGTTTCCATTACATTGACTAGCTAGTACTGGACTTTTTTTACATGAGTTCGTAATGGTAAATTCATGAATTAGGGTGGTTTATTTCTGATTTGGTGAACTGCGTTTTCTGCCATTTTTCAGCAATTTGTGGTCGGCTTTCTTGGGCGAGAGAAAGGGATTCTCTGTTTTTAGTGTACCTCATGTTGGGTTTTTGAAGAAGACGATAGAGTGCAAGGAATCACGAATTGGAAAGCAGCCAATTGAAGTGCCATCCAATGTGACAATCACATTGGAAGGTCAGGCTTTGGCAGTAAAGGGACCATTGGGGCAGCTTTCACTAACTTACCCGCGAGAAGTGCTGGTTCAGAAGGAGGATTCTGGGACTCTAAGGGTCAGAAAGGCAGTAGAGACTAGAAGGGCAAATCAGATGCACGGGCTTTTCAGGTACATTTCTTTCATCCTTCAGCCATCTATTTTGAGTAAAAAATCAGTCTTCTCATCCTCATGGTTTGTTCCTTCAATTATGGTTTTCTGGTGATCTCTTGGAGTCCAAGTATCATGTTGTTTCTTATGAAGGAAAAGCTGTAACAACATTGGTATTTAAAGTGTTTGTGATCGTTATTATACTCTGTTGTGATTGAATGTCTGCTTTTCCATACCATAGCTTGTTTGATCATGAAATTTTCACTTTTTTATACTCGGTAGTGACATTGATGGTTGAGTTTACATCTAAAGCAGGCATTAGTTTGATCAATAAACCTGTTTGTTACTCTCTCTCTCTCTCTCTCTCTCTCTCTCTCTCTCTCTCTGTGGATCGACATGTGTCTTATATGCATATATGAACTAGAGATTTCAACTTCTATTAGGAAAGACAGGACCAGATACTCAGACAATGTAAGTTTTGGAACAAATTAGTACTGATATGGGTTGTTAAGAGTGTGGTTAGGTCAATAAATCACGTAGATACATATGCACATGCACTAGTTCACTTTGTGTAACAGTTTCTTATAAGTATGGTTGTTGCATTCAATTTGATACCAGTTATTTGATGTTTCAAAAGCTTATATGTACAATCTAAATTTTGGTGCTTGGCCAAGTAAGCAGGGCACATGCAAGTCGGGCTTTAGATTTACGAAAAATTAGGGACTCTCGTCCTCCTGACCCTTTACATGCCTCTTCAAATAATTTACTTAAATGAGATTTACAAAAAGTTTTTTAGTCTCCTTCTACTATCCCTTATGTGCTTGTTTGAATAATTTGCTTAGGACACTTACGGACAACATGGTGGTAGGAGTGTCAAAAGGATTTGAGAAGAGGCTGCAACTGGTAGGTGTCGGTTATCGAGCTACTTTAGAAGGAAATATCTTGGTACTAAGTCTTGGGTTCTCCCATCCAGTTAGGATGGATATTCCTGATGGCATACAAGTGAAGGTTGAAGAAAACACCAGAATCGTTGTTAGCGGGTATGACAAGAGTGCTATCGGTCAGTTTGCTGCTTCGATCAGGAAATGGAGACCTCCGGAACCATACAAAGGTAAGGGTGTGAAATATGCTGATGAAATCATAAGAAGGAAGGAGGGAAAAGCAGGGAAGAAGAAGTAATAGCCTTTAGATTGTTTCATTTGTTTTTTGTATCTTCACATTCGTGCTTGTCAAATATGTGTCAGAATTATCGAAGGAACTGACATTACCGTGAGCAATTCATCGCTAGTTGATGTTGTTTCATTTTTTTCCCCAGTACCTGTAAGCTTGATCTATGCCAGTATAGTAGTTTCTGTAATTTCAAATTAAGGTGGATGCTGGAAAGTTGGACCTCGCAAACAGGTCATGTTGGACATTACCCGATTTCTTAACAGATCGACACAAACCTTTTCACCCGTTAAGAATTATAAATATAATAATAATTTATTTATTTTAATTAAAAATCTAGATAAAATGCATTGTACCAAATAAGTTAATTACGTGACCATATTACATGATAAAATTTTAGAAGAAACTTACCAAATTATATAGTTGATAGCTTAGAAAATAAAACAAAATACAATGATATTGTTTCTTATCCTAAACAAAGCCCTTTTTAACTGGTCTACCTGTTAATGCTCAACCCAAACATTGAATCTATGTTGTGCGTTCATGTCGTTGCATGAGGTTGTGCATGAGCTACTATAAATTAAGGGGTAGTGTTAGAGAGGTCAATTTTTGAACCAAATTTACAAAACAAATGATGTGGTTGTAGATGATTGAATTATTAATTTGTTAAAAAGTAAATTGCTTACTAATTTCTTGTTAGTGAATGATTTACTTATTAGATTTCTCTTTTGTCCTTTTGTATAACTGTTTTCTATTGTGATAGCTTGAGCTCATATGCCAAGTGTAGGGTCTTAGATCAATTATTCATTTCAATGGCTCACATGCCTTGCAACTGCCATGTGTCATAATCACAGCGGCTTATGTATTTGAATTGTTTTGATGACTGATTTAAGAGAAGCATGTATATGAATGAAATGCATCATTCTGCAAGAGTTAGAATGTTTCAGTTGTGATATTCTTTTTCTCTCTCTAGCTATTTCTTCTCTGTTCTTATTGCTTCATTCGAAATCCAAGTATTCATCAATGGAATACTATCCAAATCTCAACATGGTATCGCGAGCCTAGGTTCTATTTGGAATCGGGGCGTTGAGTCTGTGAGTGCTGTGCTTAAAAATCCAACGTGAAATTTTTAGCTCGGTTCATCGATTCAGTTCTCAATTTGCTAGGTCGAGAGGTCACCATCTTCCGGGCTCCAATATTCAATGGTGACATTTATGAATTTTGGAGGATCCGAATGAGTACCATTTTCAAATCTCATGGAATCTGGGATTTAGTTGAAAATGGACTTGAAATCTCAAAATCGAACGGTAAGAAGGTTGAAGATGAAGGCTCATCGGATTCAGAGAAAACTTCTCTGAGTGATGAGCTAATGAAAGATACTAAAGCACTAGGTATCATTCAAGGAGCTGTTTCAGATGATATTTATCCTAGAATCTCAAATGATAAAACCTCAAATGGTGCTTGGGATATTCTGCACCAAGAATTTCATAGCAATAAACAAGTGAGATTCATCAAATTACAGGGTCTACGCAGTGATTTCGAGTACACAAGGATGAAGGATAATGAAACCTTGTCTGTGTATCTCACTTGTCTTCTCTAGTTGGTGAATCAAATGAAAGGCTTCGGTGAAGATCTACCCAATGAGCGATTGGTTCAGAAATTGCTCATAAGCCTGACTAAAGAATTTGATCTTGTTTGTTATGTGATTGAACAAACTAAGGATATTGAAACCATTGAGGTGCAAAAAGTTATTACCGCTTTGAGTATTGAGGGTTCTACTGATAGAGCATTTGTTAATCCCACATTGCCTAGGGGAATGGATCCTGTAAGTCTTATATGTATATTCACATCTCTACCTAACACGAGGCCTTTTGGGAGCTCACTGGCTTCGGTTTCCATCGGAACTCTGAAATTAAGCGAGTAACGCGCAAAAGCAATCCCATGATGGGTGACCCACTGAGAAGTTCTCGTGTGAGTTCTCAGAAATAAAACTGTGAGGGCGTGGTCGGGGCCCAAAGCGGACAATATCGTGCCACGGTGGAGTCGAGCCAGGGATGTGGTATGGGCCCAGGCCGGGATGTGACAACATTCGTTAGTATGAGTGTGAATCCAAAGGAAGCTCAATCTAGTTCTTCTTTTGGTAACTTTAAACCAAAGAAGAATTGGAAATCAAAGGGCAAGAAATGAGATTCAAAACCCCAAAATGCTGCAAATCAAGGTGTCAAATATGATCAATGAGGAAAATTTGATATGTCTAAAAGGAAATGCAAACACCGTGACAAGCTATACTATGGTGAGTGCTGGTTTAAATGGAAGCCAAGGTGCCATGGATGCAATCGATTTGGTCATCTTATCAAATGACTATGATCAACCAAACAAGGTCGAAAAGCTTGCAAACTTCGCAAATCAGGTATCAGAATCTGCAACCATGTTTTATGCTCGCCATTCTGCTACTATTGGGAGAAATATGAACATATGGTATGTAGACAGTGCATGTAGTAATCACATGATATCTCATGAGTCATTGCTTATTTATGTTGATAAGACTGTGAAGTGTATACTTAAAATGGGTATTAGAGATTTAGTACAGTTAACATGCAATGGTACTCTGGTTATAGAAATGAAGGGTGTGACTAGGTATATCAAAGAGGTTATGATTGTACTTGGATTAGATGCAAATTTATTGAGTGTAGGGCATATGGTAGAACATGGATATTGGCTTGTGTTTGGTGATTTCATGGTTAATATTTATGGAGATAGACAGATGGAAGATTTGATTGCAAGTGTTCCGATGGAAGGAAACAGATTTTTCCCTTAAGTCTTGAATAGGTCAATCCCAACATGGCTAATAAAGCAACTATTGAAGAGTCATCTTGGATGTGGCATGGAAGATTTGGACATCTAAACTACATTAGTTTAATGCTCCTGCAAGATAAAGAAATGGTGTAGGGTTTACCTAGACTACAAGTCTCTGAGCATATTTACTCTGGATGTGATACAGGGAACGGTCACATGGAACCATTTGACAAGGGAATGACTTGGAAAGCATCACAACCTCTAGAACTTATCCATTCTGATATTTGTGGTCCAATGTAGATCACCATTCTTAGGGGCAACTGAATCTTCCTTACATTTGTCCATGATCACATTAGAATGTGTTGGGTGTTTTTCTTGCAACACAAGTCATAAGTTTTCTGCATTTTCAAAAGGTTTAAATTGTGAAACTGGGACTAGAAAGGTAGTTAACGGTTGCCTACTCTCCACAACAAAACGGCATTGCAGAGAGAAAAAACAAGACTGTGATTGAAATGGCTAGGACTATGATGTATAAAAAAAAAATCCCTTAAAGTCTGAAGCTGTGAACACAATTGTGTACTTGCAAAATCGATGTCTAACAAGTGCTTTGAACAACATAATTCCATTTGAAGCTTTTAGTGGAAGAAAGCAAGGTGTCAAACACTTGAGGATACTTGGTTCTTTGTGTTACATTCACATTCCTTCACAGAAAAGGCATCGGAGGAAACAGGTGAGAATGGAGTATTTGTTGGATATGGCAGTTGTGAAAAGGGATATAGGATTTTCAACTTGAGAACTCATAAGGTTGAGCTATCAGAAAGCAATGTGGGACTGGGAAACTAATGAGGCAGTGCAGTTCTCTATTCCTTGCTAAAGAAAGCATAAGCATAATTGAGCTTGATTCTAAGGCAAATAATTCAACTCAGTTGATGTAATCTCCTCTAAGATCTCATACATCTAGTGATCTGCATACAGCCCAGAAAGCTAGTTCTGTTGGTTCTCCAGTTTCAACTTCAAAACCTTATGATCATACTCCATTGAGATGGAAAAGCTTGAGTGATGTGTATGCTCAATGGAAGATGAGTATCATTGAACCTGAAGATTTTAGTGAAGCAGTCAAAGATGAAGCTTGGAAAAAGGCTATGACTGAAGAAATCTTGATGATATGAAAAAAAAAAAAAAAAAAAAAAAAAAAACCTCTACTTGGGAGTTAGTTAACAGGCCAAGTAACAGACCTATTGTAGGAGTAAAGTGGGTCTACAAAACAAAGATGAATCTGGAACACAGAGCAAGACTTGTAGCAAAGTGGTACACACAGAAACCAGAGGTTGATTTCAATGAAACCTTTGCCCAGTGGCAAGGTTAGATACCATTAGGACAGAAAGGTTGGAGACTGTGGCAATTGGATGTTAAATAAGCTTTTCTAAATGGTGTTCTTGAGGAGGAGGTATATGTGGACCAACCTGATGGTTTTGTGATTAAGAAGGCTGAAGACAAAGTGTATGGGCTAAGAAATGCTCTTTATGGCCTAAAACAGGCACCAAGGGCATGGTATGGTGAAATTGACACATATTTAATTCATTGTGGCTTTCATAGAAGCTCAAGTGAAGCAACTCTATATGTGAGAACCAAAGAAGTTGTTGGTACTCTAATTGTGTCAATCTATGTAGATGACATAGTATACACAAGGAGCAGTGATGACACGATGAATGAATTCAAGTCTGAGATGATGAGCATATATGAGATGTCAGATTTGGGATGACAGTGAATTTGCAGATGAGAATCTATACAGGAAAATTGTTGGGAGTTTGCTATATTTGACTTGAAGCATTATGGAGTTGCTAAAAGAGTCTTAAGGTATATTCAAAGGACAATTGACTTTGGAATTAAGTATGTGATTGGAAAGGTTGCTCTATTGATTGGTTAATGTGATATTGACTAGAGTGAATCTAAGGAGGATATGAGAAGTACCTCAGGGTATGCATTTTATTTGGAAGTGGGGCATTCTCACGGGCCTCAGTTAAACAGCATAGTGTGGCACTTTCAACTGTAGAAGCTGAGTATGTCAGTGCAACTGAAGCAAACACACAGACCATTTGGCTTAGATTTGTGCTTGAAGACTTTGGAGAAGAGCAAACTACGATAACACATCTGTTATAACTATATTTGAGAACCCTGTGTTTCACCAAAGAACCAAATACAACTGCATAAAGTTTCACTTCATTAGAGCTGCAATTCAAGAAAGTGTGATCGATTTGGTTTTGCAAGAGTGAAGAACAGATTGTTGATATTTTCACAAAGGCTCTTCCCAAAGATAGGTTCAACTACCTGAGAAGTCTACTTGGTGTGAACTCAGTTAGCAATTTAGAAGGGGGTGTTGAAAAGTAAATTGCTTACTAATTTCTTGTTAGTAAATGATTTACTTATTAGATTTCTCTTTTGTCCTTTTGTATAACTGTTTTATGTTGTGATAGCTTGAGCTTATATGCCACGTGTAGGGTCTTAGATCAGTTATTCATTTCAATGGCTCACATGCCTTGTAACTGCCATGTGTCATAATCACCGGGGCTTATGTATTTGAATGGTTATGATGACTGATGTAAGAGACGCATGTATATGAATGAAATGCATCATTGTGCAACGTTACAGTTGTGATTATTCTCTCTCTCTCTCTCTCTAGCTATTTCTTCTCTGTTCTCCTTGCTCCCTTCGAAACCCAAGTATTCATCAATGGAATACTATCCAAATCTCAACAATTAAGCATTAATTAACATGTTTGTTTCTTATTGGTGACACATCATTTAGTTTGTAACTTTTGGTTTAAAAATTTGGTCTCTCTAGCATTTTCTTAAATTAAGTAGTCGTGAATGGTAAAATTATGGAAGACAATAATAAGAGAGTTTTAACGAAAAGCCTATGATATTGTTCACTTTAATGAAAAACCACATTTTTACACTAAAAAGTCAATCATGATACTATTCAGTTTACCCTTTATTTTGTCCTTATCATTAAAACTCAAAGTTTTCAAGTCCTTTTCATTAGTTTTCCTTAATAATAATGATTAAATTGTTATGCAATACATGTTTTTATGTATCATTAATCAAATCATAATCGACCCCAAGATGAATGTTCCTTCATTCATAAATGGTTTCTCACTACTTCAGAGGCTCGTCTACATCCCACGTATTCAACCTTTTCTTTGCCTCTTCCACCTGCAATTCAATTAAAAAAAAAATCAAATTTATAACTTTTATCTATTAAGTGACGCCCCTTTTACACGACATCGTCGAATCAGTAAGACGATTATATCAAATTTAAAAAAAAAATCACTTGTAATATTAATAACTCATACAAGATAAGCCCCCAAAAATTATAAATAAAAAAATAATAAAAAAAAGGGAAAAAACAAAAAAAGAAAGAAGAAGACTTGTATTCAAATTTGATACCTCTTTGTTCCAATCAGTCCGAATGGTGACCCACATTAGGATGAGTGTTTGCATCAATGTGCCCCCCACCATTCCTAACCATATTCCCTAAAAATTATCACACGTAATTGTTACCGTCATCATCATTTGTATCATACGTTTACGATCACATTACAAGGTATAACATAGTACGACAATTAATGTAAATAAACACCTGCATCATGCGATTAGATTAGCTTAGTGACAAGAACATGACAATATACAATCCCGTCCGAGATTTTTCAGTTTGATGTTAGTGTTTTTTTTTTTTTTTTTTTTTTTTTTTTTTTACCTTAGCGCCGAGCTTGAAGTAAAACCCTAGAAGCGCACCAAAAGGTACTCCAACCACGTAATAACATCCTACATTCACATACGCAACAAAAGCCTGCCATCCACACCCAACAGCAACACCTGAATTCAAGCAGTGACATTCATTAGCATATATTTCATTTAGTAAGCGTAAAGTTCATAGATTGATGCTCCAAGTTATATTTACCGGACAAGACTGGCTGGACTCCATTAAGGAGGAGGGTGAGGGCGAGAAGCGGGCAGAGATCAGATACAGCAGCAGCCACGGCTTCACCTTCGGTGAAGGCGTAGCTCAACTTATGACGCAGTAAAAGAACAACTATGGCTGCGAAGACTGAGATAATGAAAGAGACTGTAGTCACCACCACAACTGAAAATGCTGTAGACTTTGGATGTCCAGCTCCAAGCTCATTACTCACTCTCACACTGCTTGCAGTAAATCATGAAAAGCAAAAAGTAAGTTTTAATAATTCTATGTTCTCTACGTAAAAAAGTTATGTGACCTATCCATATATGTACAGGACCCTTCGTAAGGGGAGTTCAAATCCACCACAGCTGGACTGGAATTTATATCGACAATCATATCCTAACTGTATTGGTTATCAATATCGTTCACAGTACTGGTACTTCTGATAATTGATAGTACAGTTGTCGATATAAGTTCAATTTGGTTATCAATACGAATTCTGCTCCAGCTACTGTGAAACGGGATCCCTTTCAGAAGGGACATGTATGTAATATCCATGGGAATGATCCTGACCTTGCCGCTGCATTTAACCCAACTGAGATCATGAAGACCCATCCATTGATTGTCATGCTGCAATTGATAAAAAAACCCTGATGTCAAACTTAATTAAAGGCACACAAAATTAGGTATCTACTGAGAGTTGGTGGTTGGTTCTGATAAACTAGCGCATCAATTATTAACCACCTTCGATGCGGTAGCTCGGAGAGAGCGTGACATGACGACTGCAATTGTAAGGAATTATTGTTTTGTTGTCCCACGCTTGATGCTCTTAATAGAAGAGGGAGTGGAACATTAAATAAAATGTCCCACGTATTAGAGAAAATAAATCCCCTCTCCAAGGTATATGACTCTAGCCTCTATGGAACTGGATTTAACAATCTCAGTCGTGTCATGAGCCACCGCCAAATTAATCGGACCAGGTATACAAATCACTCTAGGTGATTGGATTCAACCCAGTCTCATACGTCATGGCCATGCACGCCATTCCCAAGTCTTCTAATT